TCGATCCCTGCTTGCCACAGTGCTCCATCCTCCAAAGGTTGGAAGAGTCATTCCATCTACAGATACCTCCTGGCCCTGCCTTCCCCCTTCAGAACCTGCGCCAAATTGTGCAGATGTACGAGGGACATTCCCAGCAGCCTGGTCTGCAACCCAGATTGCAGAGATGAAGCTCTCAGACTTTGAGGACTGCCTGACACTATTTGCAGGAGATGCAGGACTTGGGCACAAGGAATTGTGGGCAGCATGGGGAAAGCAAAACAGGTTAGTGATGGAGAGCCAAGTAAGGTCGGCCATGAGGAAGCTCTTTGAGTGTGATGTAGGAGAAGAAGAGAATGGAGAGTTGGATGAGAGGTGGGGGAAGCAGGAGATAAAAGAGTTAGAAGATTTGGGTCACAAGTAGGAAGTGAGGGGGGATAAGTATTGAGGAAAGAGAGCTAGTATAATGAATAGAGGGAATATAGCAGTGGTTACCAAATTTTAATGTATATCACAATCATTAAGAGAACAGATTTTTTTCTTTATTCTTTTTTTTTTCTTTCTTAAAAAATAATGGCATGCCTCATGAATTTGTGTGTTATCCTTGCGCAGGCGCCATGCTGATCTCTGTATCATTCCAATTTATTTTGTGTATGTGCTGTTGAACCGAGCACAGGAACAATGCCAGTGCCAGATTACCATGCTAGATTGACTTAATAAAAACCTTTGGGGAGGCTGGACGCAGTGGCTCATGCCTGTAATCCCAGCACTTTGGGAGGCTGAGGCAGGTGGATTGCTTGAGCCCAGGAGTTTGAGACCAGACTGGGCAACATGGTGAAACCCTGTCTCTACTAAAAATAGAAAAAAAAATTAGCTGGGTATGGTGGTGCATGCCTGTAATCCCAGCTACTCCGGAGGCTGGGGTAGGAGAATCCCCTGAGCCCAGGAGGTAGAGGATGCAATGAGCCGAGATCGCACCACTGCACTCCAGCCTGAGTGTTAGAGCAAGACCCAGTCTCATAAGTAAATAAATAAGCCTCTGGGGGAAAGAGTCCAGACATCTGCATCTGCTTTTTTTTTTTTTTTTGAGACAGAGTCTCACTCTGTCACCCAGCACCCACACTGGAGTGCAGTGGTGTGATCTTGGCTCACTGTAACCTCTACATCCTGGGCTCAAATGATCCTCCTGCCTCAGCCTCTCAAGTAGCTGGGACTACAGGTGCACACCACCACACCTGGTTAATTTTTGTATTTTTGGTAGAGATGGGGTTTCGCTATGTTGCCCAGGATGATCTTGAACTCCTGGGCTCAAGCAATCCTCCCACCTCAGCCTCCGAAAGTGCTGGGATTACAGCTGTGAGCCACTGTGCTGGGCCTCAGGCATCTGTGTTTTAATAAGCGTCTCTATGTCTGATGTACAAAGAAGTGTAGAACTCATGGACTAGAGTTAGTTTGCTCTTCTTTTCCACCGACTGTAATGTCTTTTGCTTTTTTTTTTTTTGGCTTTTTTTTTTGTCTTCCTTTTTGTGGAAAACGGGGTCTCACTATATTGCCCAGGCAGGTCTTGAACTCCTGGGCTCAAGCTATCCTCCCGCCTCTGCCTCCCTGAGAGCTGGGATTACAGGCGTGAGCCACCGCGCCCGGCCTGCATTGTCTTTCAAAACACGTTAGAGGAACTGTAAGGCAACTGTCTCATTTGACAGTGGAGGAAACTAAAGAAAAGGCAGGTGACTTGCCTAGAGTTATACAGCTAAGGGCAGAGGCAAGACTTAAAACCCAGCATTCTGACTCCCAATCTACTGCTTTTCCACTCATATTGTTCCTCTCTTTCTCCTAGTTGTGGGGTCCCCCCCGGGGATTTCGTCCTGAGCAGATCCTGCAGCTCGGTCGGCTCTTAATCGGTCTAGGAGATCGGGAACTACAGGAGCTGATCCTAGTGGACTGGGGAGTGCTGAGCACCCTGGGGCAGATAGATGGCTGGAGCTCCACTCAGGTAACACCTTTCCTCCTCCCTACCACTTCCCAAACACCCATCCCACAGACCCAGCCCTGTAGATCATCTAAAGCCCAAGGAATTTTTTCCTGTGACCCTACCTGGTCATTCTTTCTATCTTTTGTTGATACCCCCTACTAGTGACCTTCAGGACTCTGATTTATTCACTCTGAGGCCCTGAACACATAATACTGTCTCCTACCTCTTTTCCTGGAGGCCTCTTCTTTTTCTATCCTTTTCTTTTCTGAGGCCTCAGCCTTCCCCGTGACTCTTTAGGTCTTAATAGTAACAGAGTGTAACCCAGCAACACCTATCACTTCCCTGTCCATTCATTCTCCATAACTTTTCTCCTTCCCCTCTGCCCCCAACCCCCACCCCAGCTCCGCGTTGTGGTCTCCAGTTTCCTA